ACGCACGCACGCACACACGGACCCACGCACGCACGCACAGACGGACCCGCGCACGCACGCAGAGACGGACCCGCGCATGAACGCACGCACGCACAGACGGACCCGCGCACGCACGCAGAGACGGACCCGCGCATGAACGCACGCACGCACAGACGGACGCGCGCACGCACAGACGGACGAGCGCACACGCAGACGGACAGGGAACGCACGATGTAGGGGGCGCTGGCAGCGCAGGAGCAAGCGATGTGACACGCGTCGCGGCGCTGGGACGACGACGAGGGGTAAAACTTTTCGATTCCGGCCGCTCTCGCTCTCTCTCTCTCTCTATCTTTCTCCCTTCCTCTCTCCCTCTCCCCCTCTCTCTCTCCCTCTCTTTCCCCCTCTCCCCCCACCTTCTCTCTCTCTCTCTCTGGCGGCGAGGAAAAATAAGTAGTAAGAAACTCACGTTGCCGTGCTTTCGTTGAACTGATCGTGCGACCGCAGCGTCGCAGTCGATGAAGCGGGAAATTTTGGCAGCTTTGAGAAATGCTTGAGAATCGTGCGGCGTGAAAACTCTTTCTCTTCCATCACGGCGAGATGCCTCGCTAAGCTGCAAGCTGAAGGACAAGAGCGTACACGTACATGTGTTATGCTTTCGCGTCTAGCAAAAGTCAAACTGGACTTAGGTTGGAGTCGAATCGATGGATATTGCATTGTTTACGTTTAGCTGTCGTTTTAGATTAATATGTAATATTAACATAATAAATTACAAATCATTAATTTAATTATTATAAAATAATATATATTATTAAATAATTGCATTGTTATTGATATTATCAATTATATATTAGAGAGATATTAAACGGTGTTTAACGTCGATCATATAATTTCAGCGACGTAGAACGTATACGCCGAATACAACAATGTGAAATGCAACATATTTTAGTAGCGCGTGGCGCCATCTACTGAGCATATTTTTTCGTGGCGATGAACATTACGAAAATGTGAAATTAAGACAATACAGTCAACTCTCTTCCAATACCGACCACCCACGGGGACCGTCCATTTAGTTCGGGTTTCTCTTAAGTTCCCTTTATTGGGGGAGCATCTTACTTCTCTCAGATGGCGATGGGACTTGAGGGAGGGCGGTTAACGTGTGAATCGGTTTTGAGGGCGTTAGGAATTCGGAGAGTTGACCGTATACAGCAGTGGTTCCCAACCTTGTGTTTCCGGACCCCTGGGGGTCCGCAAAGGTAGTATTGGGGGGTCCGTGAGCTAAGTTCAAAATTTCAAGAGCCTGAAAATGCACAGCACACGATAATGCTGCCAAAGATAAACTGCACAATTTCATGTTTCGTTGTTCTTGACTGTAATATCAGATGTGGATAATAGAGATATCTTTTATCCACTCCTAATATTATCAACTCAGTATCGCAACATTCTCCGTGGGAACTGGGGAAACGAGTTTGTTGCTAGTTAATAAAATCGGCTTGTTGAGTAATCAGACCTTTCAAACACCTGGGGTCCGCGGGAGAAATTAATTTGAATACAATGTGCCCTTGGTGGTGAAAAGGTTGGAAACTACTGGTATATAGTAACAAATATGTAACATAGAACAAGAATATGAATATGAATATGAATATGAATATGAATATGAATATGAATATGAATATGAATATGAATATGAATATGAATATGAACACGTAATTGTAATATAGTAACGATCCGAAATACGGTCCCGTAATGGTGCTCTCACTCGTCAAATGCTCCCGGAAATTCGCCGAACGTGAGCGAGGGCAGCAGACGATGCAGCGAGGGGACGGACGCGCCGACAGCCCCGTGCCACCAGTAGCCGCGTCTGCCGAAGAAGACCACCAGGTGGATGACGCGACCTCGACGTACGAACAGGTGATGTGTCGTTCGATTGATGTGTCGCGTGTCCCAGAGTGACACACTGATCGGGCGCGGGTCGCGACCTTCCACCGCCACGTACTTATACCGATGCTTCCGCATGGCATCGGCTACGAATTGCTGTCAGGAATAGACAAAGAGAGAAGATATGAGATAATTGGAGGGCGGCGCAAGACTGATTGTTTTACGTCTAGTACGTAATAGTACGTATAGTATTGTGAACGCATCATGATGTATGACACAGGTGCTAGTTGCCCGGTCTTTTCCGGAGTTCTGCATTCCAGGGTTGTGTAAAAGAAAATGTAACGTCGTTCGATCATCTAGGATTGCATATATCCAACAAATCTAACTGGGAAAAACCCCGCCTCAGTTGAGAAAGGGGTTTTGTTTTACATTTATGTATTTTCTGTAAAGTAAAGTCTCAATGCGACGTGTTACGTAAGTGATACCTAGCCTCAAAACTATGTTATAAGTCGATCAGGTTCATGGTTAAGTTGTCGTATAGACTGGCCTTATCTCACATTTATCATCTTAGTGATTTCAATGTGTGAGATAACGTATTGTTTATTATAATGATCATAATTAATAATATGTAATTAGTAGGTAATAATAATCAATGTGTACCATTAAATCAATCTTTTGTAATCTTTGTGTAAGATTGTCCGCGCGTGAAATAGTAACAATAAATCGTCTGCTTGCACGTGAATGCGGAACCATTGACTGTGGAATTTCTGGTCAAAACTCATCATCAGTCAGCTTTGAGAAGGCCTCCTGATAGGAGGCGAAACGTCAGCTGCACGCTTCCAATCTTCACGGTTAAGTAACAATTAACCCAGTTAGATCTATTAGTCTACCAACCGAATGAACTTATTTAATGTGTGGGAATTTCTTCTTGCTTGCTATCGAGCTTAATCAGTATTCGCAATGACCATTGTGTCCACAGTACGTTTAGAACATTTTAACAATCATTACATTTAGTACATTAGTGCATTTAGTATATTTTAGTCGCCAGGTATTTGGGTATTTAGTATTAGGTACAATAGTACAATAAATGAGTACAATAGTACAATAAATAAGTACACTAGTACATTTAGCTAGTTAGTAAATTTTTCTCGTTATTTTCTAATTGGTAGCTTGGTAGAAACGTTTGTGTCGGCAATGCGAAATGTAGGTTCATGGTTACAGGTGGTGAAGAATTATCTCCCCTTGTTAGCGCTGTCCCAACAACAACCATGCAGCCGGTGCATGGGAAAAGTCGCTATTTTTACCTCTTCGTTAGGAAGCAGATCTTGCTCAAGGACGCCAAAGGTGACCACATTAAACGCGGAACCGCTGTTGTTTCTACTCCACCAATCCTGAGGTAGTTCCTTGTCTTCGACCAGTCGTTCTAGAAGCCGGGGTTCCATGAGAAACACGGTCGCATTGAGGCTCGCACAGGCGTCCAGTAGTGTAGATATCTCATCGCTAAACTGTTGGCATAACGTGTAGTACATGCGCTATAGCGCGTTAAACCCTCCAACTATTCCGCAAGAACTTTAAAAAATGCGAATATCAACTCACGAGAAAAACTCGAACTAAAGAAACTTTGTGGGAGTAATAGCTTCTGACAGCTTTGGTCGTAATTTTAAAAGACACTTGTTTGCGTGTCCCCTTAATTTCTACCCACAGTGGAGTCACAGAAGTAATGTGCTCAAAGGCATATCCGCCATATATGATAGCAACAATTCTAATATAAAACTTCACATGTTTCGAGACAAAAATCTAAATGAAATTTTCCTAATTTAAAATTACATTTCAAGAATTTTTCGAAATGTTCAAATAGATATTTACCACAGGATGTATTATTTATGAGCAGGCTGAGGTTCCGCATGTCTCACGGACATTCACACCACCGCTACATGACATAATTATACGTCTAAACCTAACCCTCAGGCTAGACACTTCAAGCGGATAATTGTTCCGTTTCTGTCAAGCTAAATCTAACTCGCTGTTCCTGAAGCAACGAGATCAGTTCGACATTCCTTCGTCGCTACCCATAAAACCCCAAGAATATCCCCTCCTTATTCTCTCACTACTCGTATGTATTGAATGTGGCTGATACTCTCCCAATTAATTACTTGATACGAGTTCAATTTAAAGCGCGCGCAGACACACACACAGATACATACCCGCGCGCACACACACGCTCTTTATCTCCATTTCTATCTATCGCTACCTCTTTCATTCTGTAAATAGTGTCTGTGTGCGCGCGTGTGCATGCATGCGTACGTGTGTATGTGCGTGCGTGTATGCGTGCGCGCGTGCGTGTGCGTGCGTGCGTGTGCTCGCTCGTCACAGTGTTCCGGGTTTTTCTTGAGGGATTCAGAAACCACGTCGCTCGCTCGACAGGCGCGTCCGAACCCTAGCGGCAAAACACGCACTCACGGCTCCGACGACGACGACGACGACGACGACGACGACGACGACGACGACGTCTAGGCAAAACCGATTTGACGGATCTTCTGACGATTTGCGCACCCTCGGTATAAATGCCAACGACACGGCGCACCGCGCACACAGTCGCATTAAGATAGAGCAGAGAGAACAAGAGAGAGCCACAGCACACACACACCACACCACACGCGCACGGGAGTAGTGGTGAGAAGAGGAGGAATGCCACGAGCGAAGGAGAAATGGTGATAGAGAGAGAGAGATGAAGATGAGAGGGAGAGAGAGTAAGGAGAGAATCGGGAGTGAGAGAGAGAGGAAGGACGGGAGGGAGAGTAGAGAAGGCTGAGAAGAGGGAGAAGGGAGAGACAGGGGAAGAATATATGAAGAGAGAGGGAGCGAAGTAGAGAGAGAGGAAGGGAAAGACGAGAGAAAGAGTGGAGAGAAAGTGTGGAGAGAGAGGGAGGGAGAAGAGAAGAGAGAATAGAGAGAAGAGAGAGGAGAGAGGAGATAGAGAGAGACAGAGATGAGAGACGGGAGAAGAGTGAGAAAGAGAGAGGATATCGAGAGAGAGAAAGAGATGGAGAAAGGGGAGAAGAAGAGAGAGAGAGAGAGCAAGAGATAGAGGAGAAGTAGTGTGTGCGTGTGTGTGTGTGTGTGTGTGTGTGTTGTGTGTGTGTGTGTGGTGTGTGTAGTGTGTGTGTGTGTGTGTGTGAGAGAGATGGAGAGAGAAAGAGGTGGAGTGAGAAAGAGATGGAGAGAGAGTGAGAGATAGAGAGAGTGAGAGAGAGTAAGCGAGAGAGAGGTAGAGAGCGATGGAGCGAGAAAGAGAGTAAGAGAGAGAGAAAGAGAAAAAGAGGGGGAGATAGAGTGTGAGAAGATGGAGAGAGAGTTGAGAGATAGAGAGGTAGAGAGAGATGGCGAGAGAAAGAAAGTAAGAGAGAGAACGAGAGAGAGAAGTAGATAGAGAGAGAGGGGGAGAGATGTGGAGAGAGAGAGAGAGAGAGAGAGAGTAAGCGAGAGAGAGAGAAACAGAGAAAAAGAGAGTTAGAGAGAAAGAGAGAGAAGTACTACTCACCGCGGGTGGCTGCAGCGAGTGCGCCACTGCCGACGACAGGCCGCCAGAGTACAGATTAACGGTTGCTATGACGACGAGCGTCGCCAGCACAAACAGAGACACGACGACGCCCTTCTTAACCTTGCATCGCTTCGCTACGCGTCCGAACATCAGATACTGGCCATCGTCGTACGTCACCGCATACATTCTCTGTCCGTCTGTGCCGCAGCTACGGCCACTGTCCGTATAGGTAGACACCCACGACGATGTCGGTTCAACTCGGCCGGAACTGTCCGCCATTCGCTGCGCCGACGAAAGTTCCCCGAAGCGACGGAGGTTTCCGCTATGATCGATGGGACTTCAGTTCGCCGCGGTTGCGGAAGGAACGAATAGAACGGAGGCGTAACTCAGACATTCCGTATAACCTAAGCACAGCGACAACAAACATCGTATTTTCGCGTATAGCATTCGTGGCAGCAGACCCGCACGACGATTTAGCGCTAGAAACCAGTTTTTCTGCTTTCGTCCAGCTGTGTCTGCTACGGAGTTCGTTCCACCTGCCTGCGTTAACACAATGTGGTGTAGTTCAGTTCGCCGACGAGCGATGGCGCCAGTAGTTCCGTGAGTAAACGGTTGATGAAACGCGCCGTTGGGTAGCGAGGTTCGCGGTGTATGTGGGGGGTAGATGGTTATCAATATATATATACTTATATATATATATGTGTGTGGGGCTGTGTGTGTGTGCGTGCGTGCGTGCGTGCGTGCTTGCGTGCGTGCGTGCGTGCGTGTGTGTGTTCCTGCTCATTCAATGATCCTGTATTGAAAATGAAGAATATCGTTTCTCTTTCATAAAACAATTTTAATTAAAATTCGATGCGTGCGAGCGGGCTACAATTACCACGCAGTTAACCCTACATAGGTTGCCAACGTATCCATGCTCATGCTGCATTGTTTCGATTGATTGAAATTAAGACATTTTAATGCATGCGGGAGTACACAATATGTTAGATCCAATCGAACATTGCAGCATGAGCATGGATACGTTGGTAATCTATGTAGGGTTAACTGCGTGGTAATTAACCCGCTCGCACGCATCGAATTTTAATTAAAATTGTTTTATTAAAGAGAAACGATATTCTTCATTTTCAATACAGGATCATTGAAGGAGCAGGAACACATTTTGCCTCTAGGGCTGGCGGCACTGTTTGGTATAATTGTTCAAGCATTTCTACCAGATCGCTACTCTTAATGTATTGAAATTTACCATATTTATCAAATTACACGACCAGTCTGTGAAAATAGTGAATTGTGCTCATTCAAAGTTGTTGTTTTTTGCGGTTGAAAATAAATTGGGTACAATGTAAGCTTTGGGGCATTTACATAAAAACGGCATCTTGAAACGTATGGCTTATAATCTGTTTATACGTCAAAAAAACTCGGCACATGCGTATGAAAATGTCAACCATGGCAGTTATGACAACCAAGTAACAAAATTTCATCATCACATCAGTGAACACAATATATTGCTGCGAGTATAAGTTTACAATATAAATAACTGATGAGTGTATGGAAAGTATAGACATTTTATAACTAGACGTACGAAAATTCAAGATAGTACATACGCTGGTAACACTGCGGTAATTTTAAATAAGACATATCTAGAGTCGTTAGATTAAAATACACCGTAGCTCATACAGCACGCAGTCCGTTTGCGAGCCGTTGCGACGTTGCGATGTTGAGCTATTGTTGAGAATCGTAAGGGGAGGGAGGTCCCTTGTGTTGTATCCTCAATGCATCTATTAGCTGATCGCACTGCTGACATCACGTTATGTAATGCAGAATTAGGCAGTCATTGACATCGGTACGCTTTGTAACACCCTTACTTTAAAGAACATAGAACATTACATTACATAGTACGCTACATAGAAGCGTACATCCGGGGTATATGGCGTCGGAACGTCTGTTATAGCGGCGAGATATGCTTGTGGCTTTGCGTGCGTATGTGGCTTTAGTTGTGCTGTATGTGCTATGATTCTGTGTTATTATTGTTGCGCTGGGTGGTTGTGGTCTTCTCTCGCTCGCTCTCGCGCTCTCTCTCTCTCTCTCATGCTCTCCTCTCTCTCTCTCGCTCTTCTCACTTTTCTCTCTCTCGCGTTCCGCGCTATCTCTCTCTTTCTCTGCTCTTCTCATCGATTGGCACGTCTCTTCTCTCTCGCTCCTCGCTCGCGTCGCTTTCTCTCTTGCTCTCGACTGGGCCGGGCATAGCTGGTAGGGCAATAGCTGTAAGTATGATCAAGATCCACTGGGCGCATACAGTAGAGGAAGAGAGATAAGAGACACTCCGACGGTCGCTCATATTTTTCTAGGACACTAATAATTGTAGGTTGTATAATAGCATTTCATACCCGTACTCTATTCAATTAAATTGATAAAATTAATAAAATAACTCAGGGTACTGTGGTAGTGTTGATAATGTTATATATAGTGTCATCTATCTTGAATGACACTGCTGATGATCATCCGATGCTGACTGGTTGTGATCTCTCTCTCGCTCTCGCTCTCTCGTCCTCTCTCTCTCTCTCTCTATCTCACTCTCCCTCTCTCTCTCTCTCTCTTCTCTCTTCTCTGCTCATTCTCATCTCAGTCGTGGGCTCTCGATCTCTCTCTCTCTCATCTCTCATCTCGTATCTCTGCGGGTATGTGTGTGACTGTGTGTGTGTGTGTGTGTGGGTGTTGTCCGGAGTACAGATGATATGCGGCCGATCAGTACCTCAGTCCCGAGCTGTGCAGCTGGGTTACTTAGAGAATAACAGCAGCGGAATGTGTGTGTGATGTGTGTGTGTGGTGTGGTGTGTTAGTGTGTGTGTGTGTTGTGGTGTGTGTGCTTGTGTGTGTGGTGTGTGTGTGGAGGTGTGTGTACTGTGTACTGTGTGCGTGTGTGTACTGTGTACTGTGTGCGTGTGTGTACTGTGTGCTACGCAGAAGCACACGTCTCTCCCTCACAATCATCGATAGCTCCTGACATTGCACAATAATGCTTCAAGGCCTAGAACCTAAGTTGTTAACATTACAGAAGTGAGCGCGAGCGTAGTGACGTGGTGCGCGCGGGGTGCGTGCGTGCAACTGGTGTATGTGGTTTTAGACAAGAACTTGCTCTGTAGGAGGTATTGATATATATAGTAAGATACTGATGGATATTATATTTATTACTGGTCAGCTGTCTACCCTGAGTATGTATAGCTAGGTCTAATTGTTGTAATATACCAAGGAAGTTGGACTCGAACTATTGCTACCGGCGGTGCGATAAACCTTAACAGGATGCGATTCCAATTTGGCACGCCTATATCACAGAGATCTCATTAACAGATGTCAGACATTGCTTTCTGTTCGAGAAAATACTGGAATTAGCCTGGGTAACCGGCAGGCTATTTATATATTAAAATGATGCAGCGATACACACAAATGATTGCTGATGTTTCCTATCTCAAGAAAAAATCAACAGTATCTTCACCATCTTTGCTCTCTCTCTCTCTCTCTCTTCTCTTCTCTCTCTTTCTCGTCTATCTCCTCTCTTATCTCATCTCTCTCTCTTCTCTCTTTCGTCGCTCTCTACTCATCTCTAGTATTGCTCTCTCGTCTCGTCTGTCGCTCTCTTATCTCTCTCTCTCTCTCTCTTCTCTCTCTCTCGCTTTCGCTCTCGCTATCTCTCTGCTCTCTCTCTCTCTCTCTTTCTGTGCTCTCTCTCTCCTCTCTCTACTCTCTTATCTCTCGCTCTCTCTCTCTCTCTCTCTCTCTCGCTCTCCTTTCTTCTCGCTTTCTCTCCTCGCTCTCTCGCTTGCTCTCTCTCTACCTGTGTGTGGGTGATGTGCTGTATGTGTGTGAGTGTGTTGTGTGTGTGTGGCAGATGTGATGTGTGTGGTGTGTTCTATCTCTCTCTCTCTCTTCTCTTTCTCTCTTCTCTTCTCTCTATCTGTCTCTCTCTTCTCCTCTCTCTCTCTTCTCGTCTATCTCTCTCTCTCCTTCGTAATCTCTCTCTCTTATCTCTCCCTATATCTCTCTCTATTTCTTTCTTTCTCTCTAACTCTCCCTCCCTCCCTCTCTCTCTCTCTCTCTCTCTTTCTCTCCCTCTCTCTATCTCTCTTTCTCATCCCTTTCTCTCTCGCTCCCAATATCTCTGGATATATCTATGCGCCGCGGGGTAAAAGTACCCTTTCGCGTAAGGTTAGCGCCCCTTCCCTAGCGACTAACGACATCCGGAGCTATCGGGCTGTTAAGGTGAACAATAAACCCAATTAGCCTATTTGCAAACGCTTACGGAATACTGCACACCACGCCGTAGGAAGATAGCGATAGCAGCACCGTCACGATTCTTACTCGGAGTTTAATTTATCGATTTTATGTGTCTGGGACTCAGCCGTCACAATGCTAGGTGTGTTATATTTTTACCGCTCCTCTATTGGTAACTTGTTATTGTGAGAATACGACGGGTTACGTCATTGCGTGATATACGCGTGATAGAATGTGATAGAATGCGATAGTAATTATATAAGAAGAGCTAATAATATACTAAAGATAAGATAAGATATATTATAATAATATATATTAGCTCTTGATCATACTATAATACAATTAACGTATTTTTCTATATATTACAGATTGGTGAATACAAGATCCATACTTGATACATATCGAGCAGGAGAACGAGTGATATACGAGTTCGCGGCTTGCACGATCCGCGCCTATATACATTATTGATTCACAATGCTTGGTTTTTTTCTACACTCATAATATAAGTATAATATAATATAACATATATATAAGTTATATTCTTCTCTCTTATATACTTCGATATAATATTACAGATTATGAATAGTGAATATAAGATGGGACGCGGGTAGGTACGGAAAACGTTAAGTCACGGCTTACAAGATTCGTACCTATATAAACGTATACATTATTAACTAACTTGTTTTTTTCTATACTTATATTCTTCCCTGTTATATACTTCTATACTTTATTACAAATTAGTGAATATAGGATGGGACGCAGGTATAGGTATACGGAAAAAGTTAAATCGCGGCTTACAAGATTCGTACCTATATATAGGTATGCATTATTAATTTTTAACTTGTTTTTTCTATACTTATATTCTTCCCTGTTATATACTTCTATACTATATTACAGATTAGTGAATATAGAATGGACGCAGGTAGGTACGGAAAACAAGTTTAATGACGGCTTACACGATTCGCATTAATTAATCAATTAAATAAATAATTAATTAATTAATGTATCGCACGATGGGTCGCAGGTAGGTACGGAAAACAAGTTTAATCACGGTTTACATGATGCGCACTAATGAATCAATTACACATTAATTATTCAATCAATTAATTAATTACACATTAATTAATCAATCAATTAATTAATTACACATTAATTAATCAATCAATTAATTAATTACACATTAAT